TATATATATATATATATATATATATATATATATATATATATATATAGGACATATATTATATATATATATATAATAAATATTAGTTAGGGTTGATTACTGCGAAAGTTTGACTCCAACCAATGGCGAACCGAGGGTAAATTAATGTATGCGTGGATGGTTCCTACGTAGTTATTATGTACTATAGTTCAAATGCAAATTCAGGATCATTCAACTCATATCGCTTTGTGGAAAATGGAATAATTTCAACAAGTAAGTTTGTATGTTTAAATGTAAATTTGTTACATTTTATGGTAGAGTAGCAAATCGTTTAAAGCCATTACGCATCGAAAGTTATATCAATAATGACATCACATTTCAGTGGAATGAACGATAATGATGAAGAAATGAAGCCATCCATTGTATTTAATCCAGTGACTCACAAAGCTGATAACGTAGGAAGTGAACTGAAAGCGGCGCGTCATTATCTTAAAACATTAAACTCTTGTTGGAATCACCAAGTCTCGTTGTAAATAACTTTTGAGGTATACGTCGAGTATTGCACTTATGGTAACAATGGTAACTACATACAAACGTAGCCGGATGTGTAAGCGCACGCCGCGTGCCGTGTACGGGCCTACACATTCGCATAATCTCGTGATGCATTCGCATTGCATAGTTGTGGCCGTGTCAAATTTCGACGGCTTGGTAACAAGACCCGTAGCTCAGTTGGTAAAGACCAATGCTACGGTGCAGCATGGACGTGGGTTAAAGTCCCACCGGGTCCTCGGAATTTCTCTGTGTGTTCAATCTTTGCATTCATAATCATAATTATCGAAGATCGTCAAATCCCGATTGCGGGTGGTATGGACACATACATAGACAGCCACAAATTACACCACTCTCACGAGAGAAATAAATGTAAGCCATACAAATATTTCTCCCGGCTCGGGAATCGAACCCGGAACCTTTGCGTGGCAGATCAGCAGGGTAACCGTACGGCCGCAGAGGCAGTGTAATAAATGTATATTACATAGCTAATCTGTTTTTAAGCACTAATATAAAGAAAGTATGCACAAACAAGATTCCCAAAATACAGGTACGTTTTTACTTAGTTTAGGTATCACGAATACACTATTACAGTTCTAAGATTTAATTTTATAATAGCTATATGATGATTGTATAATAATAAAAGTTCCTTTTTTTAATTGTTTATTTTTAATATTTTTTCTTATATTTAGATTAAGTTACAGTGAAATAAATTTGTCTTTAATATAAACAACGTAACACCAAAAATTTTATTCAACGAATATGCATATGATAAAAAACAATTATTCCTATTATTTGATATTTGATACTAAACAATACAGATTCGTTACTCCGTGTAAAGTAATCCATTGTGTTAAAATATTATCGTGGAACTTTTATTTCCTAAATTACGAGACGGAAGAATTGACGCCACTTTTTATTGAGACAGGGGAATACCGTCCTGTGCGACAAATCGCGTATCGCTATAATTTCGCTTGTCCTCTTGTGGGTTGTAGCAATTCGGTTTTCTTAATGCCACACGATAAATTTCCTGGAATTCATCGAATGGCTCACTGACCGAGGGTTCAGAAATGAAACCTCGATGCTCGTATTTCTATCGCAACGTGATTCTACAATCTTTTTTCACAAATGCTTTTAGGGTAGATCCTAAAGATGTTTTAGTTGCCGCGTAACGTAGAACCGCCTATTTCGTGTACTATTACTTTGCTGGTAGATTTGGTAACAAAATAAACTCACCTTGGGAATGAAAATAAGCGCCATGCTTAGGAAACAACAGAAGACAATTGCAAGTGAGACAAACGCGAAGGCCGCGTCTTGCTGGCTGGCGATAACCAAGGTGACGGGCGCGGTGATCAGGCAAAGCACCACCACGTTGTAGATGCTCATGCCGACGTAGCGTGAGTCGTTGATTTGCCGTACTTTCACTGATCGCGTCTCGTAAGCAAGAAACAGCCCGAAGACCAGCACCAAACCCTTGTATCCATACATTACACCTAAAATGTTTTTATTTAGTTGTTATCGTGCTATTATTAGTGGCAATTAACAAAGATCGAACAAACTCCTTTGATCCGGCTAGATTAGAAATTTAGGCGATAATGTCGCTGGTTCGAGTCCAGCCGGATCGATGGAATGTTTCTTTCAGTTTGTTTGATCTTTGTATCGATTATAAAAAAAGTAATATAACGAATAATGAATAATATGTCACAGCGAATCTCTAAAAGGACAACACTGGACCCAGCTGTTATTAACGACTTTACACAAACTTTTAAATTTTCGCCTAAAGTACGCTCATAAATGAGTCGCCATGGACTCCAGAGATTTATAAAAAGTAATTTATTTTGTTTACGAGGTTCTATATTACCTTATATCATCATCATCTTTCATAATTATTGTTGGAATTTTGGTTATTAAGCATAAATCGGAAACATTACTTTATTTATAATTAAAGTAGAAAACGATTAATGTGATCATAAAAATGAAATACTGTTTCCGTGCAGTAGTAACACATTAAGAAGGAACAGGTGTAAACTAGATAAAAGCATTCCAATTGACGGTCTATACTGTAACAACTACCTATTAAAAATATGCTCACCGAGCCATACGGTGTTGTGTTCACTTTCGCAATGTTCGAGTTCGGGTCGTATGTGGACATCGTCGTCGTGATGCCGCGGGTTCTCCAGCGGGAAGATTTCAACGCGCCTCTCGAGAGGGTCTCGGAGCTGCCATGCAGTCAGGATCGCAGCGTCTACTACCAGGAGGCCTCCCACCATAGTATACAGCTTCCACCCGTGCATGCGTTTCTGTACATTTTTATTTTGCTATTCATTGATTCTCTTTTGTTTATTAATTTAGGGAAAACAATTGCAAGATTTGCTCACTTGCATAGTTGTGCTTATTCCGTGCATGACTGTACTAATCGGAACTTTTATGTCTGACATCCCATAGAGTTAATTATAATCTGTCCAAGAAATGAAGATTAATGATAAGGGGCGGCGGTCGTTAGTTCTCCAGTAGTGTACCTTAATAGTGTGCCATTTTATGAGGTAACGTTTAAACATACCTACGCTCTATAAAATACAGACAGAAATGTGCAGTTTAACGAACAGCTACAAATTGAACAAATGTGATCCAAACAATGCGGTCATGGGTTGACCAAAACTTGTGTGTGAAAGTATCGAAACTCGCCTTTTTCGAGTCACTCGGTTAGAAAACAAGCACATATAAATTAATGAGTTGACTTTGTAGTCCTGTTTTATACGCGGAGGTGACAAACAAAATAAACGTTTGAAGAACTACATAATATAAGGGTCAAAATAGTGAATTTGATTTGTAGTAAACAGTAGGAAGTAAATATCTACCTAGGTAGTTGTAATATTTGTATTAAGGAAGATAGATTACTTGTTTGTACAGAATTGTCTGTTATACCTTAGTATCGACTTTTGGCTTGGTTGTGTGCCTGTGAACTCTCCACACTTTGGTGAATAGTGCACCATAGGCCATTGAGAATCCGGTGGCAAGGAGCCAGGCTCTCGCAGCGCAGACGCCGGCGAAATGTTGCGGCTGCACCCAGCGTCCGTCCACGCCCAGCGCAATCGCAGCGCCCAGGCACACGCAGCACCCGCACAACATTACCGTGTTGCATGCCGGATGCGACCACTGGATCACCCTAGCCGTGACAGGATTTTTTTTACATGTACGAAATACAATACTTTTGTTTTCACTTATGGAAAATAGCTTTGCTTTGGTAAGTGCTTGCTAACAATATCAAAATTATATAGGATAGGGTGCTGAAACACTTTATTCCCGTTCCTTAAAAACACACAGCTATTGATTTCTATTCGAGTTTTGTGAGTAACATAAAAACATTTACGAAGCTGGTGTTTTGGTTCAACAACACCGCGCTATCTGCTCGCAATAAAAATGAAAACTAGGGCCAAAAAGAACTATCCGTAATAAGACGAGAGCGCCGTACCGCCTTAAGTGGCTTACTTGTAACAAAAAGTTTCAGGAAAAAGGTTTCAAGAATCCAAGATTTATGTGAAACTGAAGATTTTACAAACTAATTTGTTATTCATTTGGTGTACCATTGGTATTGAATCTACCGTGTATAACGAGTAAGTAACTCAATAAAATATACGTAAAGTTCTGTTTCCGGATTTTTTTGAGAATAAATGATTTGTAGCGATTGTCACACATGAGTAAGACTTTCTAGCTAAAACAGTTTCGTTTTTGATGTTCCAGTTAAAACTAGATTGTTCTTCTTGGAATCAGTCGAGTCAAGTTTTTAATAAGACCCCTGTCATGTGACGTGCTGTCCTACACTGCCATAGTGACAACGGAGGTGAGGGGTGGTGGTCGGCGGGCGCGGTAACACAGTGGATTGACAAGGGTCATGTAAGTTTGTCCCTTTTACTTTCTCTACTGTTGCCAAAGGGCTTTTGCGTCAACTAAAGGTAATGCCAATGTCAAGATGTCGTACTCGTAAATACTAACGCCAAAGATGAAAGATTATGGCGACTGTTTATACAGTCTTATGAACAGGTAAGTAAATAAATAAGTTACGAGAGCATTTGTACGACTTAGATTTGAGCTCCTTTTCGTTTTACACTTTCTTGAACTTTTGAGAAATGCGTCTTATATTCTTGAACTTTTGAGAAATGCGTCTTATATTCTTACCTTCTATGTCGGTGTAATAAATTAAATATGATGAGCGCGATAGCAGCTAGGATACCGGCGATGCAGAGGGCTGTCATGCATGCGAAGAGCGGCAGAGACACGGTCCGTAACTCATTAACCACCACAGTTCGGTCCGGCGGAACTTTGCCACCTGTCACCAAAGGGATTGAAACCACATTTTTTTCGAAACCCTGTTATTTCGAAGGCTGTATATGTACATACATTATTATAGATACAAAAAAAACGAAAAAATTCTTCGATCCGGCTGGATTCGAACCAGCGACTGTTTGACAAACTAGTGGTGTTTTTTTTTTACAAAAAAATGTATAAATATTATGGTAGTAAAACATTATATTCAATAAAATAAATATTACATTAACTACTTTCATTATTTTGATATTTTCTTTTTATCAGAAATCTTCCTGTCTCGACATTTTTATAACTTCGCCGTTTTTATACAATTAACTAAATTGTTATGAAGCAAGGACTATATCCTGTCATTGCCAACCGGCTAGCCCGAAGCAATTAATTTACCTACGAATTTTTACAAGAATTAATAACAGTATAAGGGTGCTTTGAAGACGTTCTTTCTAAGTACTTTTTAATTTCTTAAAACGTTTCATATGTAAAGATTTATTTTTCCTCGTTGCATTTATTTTTTAGTGTTTTGTTTTGTGACATGATAAAACAATAATTAACTTTATTTAGTTTGACACTGTGATGCGGGAGGTAATTTTTTTTTGCAAAACCATGTAGAGTGAGTAGTACGTACCGACCCACCGCTCTCGGTCCAACCACGTGAGATTGTCCGCCTGCGTGTCGTAGTAGCCGAGTTTCACATAATGGTTGTCAGCCAGTTGCTCTATCTGCGTCAATGCTATCCGGTCACCTTGCGACGAAAACGCCACAAGGCCCTACACACAAGATATATAACACTGTAACAACGGATCGTCACGTTATGGCGATTAGACAACATCGCATACGTTGCTTTGATATCAAAGTAAGTAACTAAAGCACTTGTGTTATGGTAATCGGAAACAACGACGGTACCACAAATACCCAGACCCGATATAATATACAAAAGTTGGTTTTTCTACATTGACCCAACCGAGAATCGAACCCGGGACCTCAGAGATGGCGACACCATGAAAACCGGTGTCAAACCCTCGACCACGGAGATCGTCAAATAATAAGGGCGATACAAGTTACAAAGCTACTTTTTTCGGAAGGTGAAGAAACTTTATTTATTACACAGCTTAGATACGACTTTCATTCGTACAAACTTAGTTTTTTCATCAAATAATGTTTAGACCATTAGCTTTAGTTATAATGTTAATTTGCTGTTAACAAAGTTGGCAAATCAAGAAAGATACTTATTACAGAATTTTGTTACAGTTGTCTGTCAGTGTTTGCAAAAGGAACGACTTCACAAACGGGGATTTTAAGTCCAGCCACATTAAACTTCTATAAGTGGTTGGCAAGTTTGCGCAAATTGATATTCCTTTCTTTGGTGCCTCGAAAGTTGCCAGATTTCTATCAGGGTAGCATAACAAACTTTGAAATTTAGAACACAAATTCCAATGCTTTGCTTGAAAGATATTTTGTTTTATCTTACAGCCATGCTTTTTAGTAATTTTAGATTACCTATAAATTTTGTCTTTCAATAGTTGAGATAGTCTGAATTCTGTAAGCAGTTAAAATTATTTTTGCTATAAACTGTTTACAAATGTGTGAATATTATAAATCCTATTGTAGGTATGAAAAAAATTTTGCCTATTACACATAGGCAAATTTTTTCTCATCAGTGTCATAAACGGAAGCGGATGGAAGCAGTCACTCACCGAGACCCCGAGAAATGACGTCGAATTTATTGCCTCATAGATATCGTCTGCGATCTTTTTGTTCGTGTACGTAAAGTTCTTCAAGCTTAAACCACTTTTCTCAAGTTTCTCCATCGTTTTGTTGAAGGCTACAAATCAAGAGATTAAATAAATTGTTTCAGTTTGTAGTTTGTTCTTAAGTACTTTTTTGGTGAACTTCATAACTTATCTTTTGAGTTCCACACTGAGATTAAAGTAAAAAAAGAACCTCGTTTTTTCGCAAAGCTATTTTCTTTATAATACGAAGTGACGGAACGAACAAGTCGTGCCCCTGGTGGTAAGCGATACGCCCATCCCTAACAGTTGCAGTGCCACTAAGAGCTTTAAATCGCAAAGATCTTAGGGGCACTGCCACTGCGCCCGTCACTCTGAGACATAAGTTGACAAGTCCAATGTGCCAGTAATTTCATCAGCACCCTTATCCTACTAAACTGGAACGCAGTAATGCTCACATTACTGCTTGGCTGCAAAAATAGGCAAATAGGTAGATTTCGATACGCGTAACTCTTTCTACTTAGCAAATAAAAAAATATTTAAGACATTACCTAATGCCACCGCCCACACCGCATCATAAGCAAGAGGGGCTTCCTGGTAGCCCTCGGGATATCTTTCACCGTCGATGTCATAGCCGGCGCCACGTAAAGCTTCGTTCAATCTCGACCTATTAATATAGCAAATTAGGTACAAGAACTATGTGGAATTTCAAATTGTACTTATTTTTATTTTTTGCTTGCGGATGTTTTCTTATACCATACACATATAAGGTGTAATCGTTAAGTATGCCCAGGCGATTATTCCGTAAATATAAGAGGTATCAAAAACCTTGAAACTCTACAAATTTCTTATTAAATGCTTTTTAATTTTGTGGTCGTTTTGTTCTTTCAGTAACGTACTTTCGACATCAGTTTAAAGGTTTTTGAAATCTCTTATATTTACGGAATAATAGCCTAGCACACTTAACGATTACACCCTGAATAGAGTAAACTTTTACTCATATAATTTCAGATTTTGTCATAGGTATTTCAGAGGTAGTTCATTGTGACGAATGTATGTATTTCGTAATGTCAATAAGCTTCCTAGTATTTGCAATCTTCTAACAATAAAGGTTTTGTCTTAGGTCTTGAAATCGATATGGATAAACAAGCTAAAACTGCAATTTCAAATAGTTGGCAAACAGATATCGGGTGCCAAAAACAATAGCCAATTGTATCTGTCGGTATTGTAGTTGGGTATTCTCGTGTAGAATGTTACTACGAGCTTTACTTTCTGTCGAAATATTTAGCTTATTCTTTCCACGCATTGCAGTAGTACTCAGTAGTTACTCTGAGTATTGAGTACATAGTATTGAGTTGTGCATTTCTAAACTATTTTATTCGTCAGTTGTTCGTTCTTAGATAGGGTTAGATATTAGGGATGTGAGGAGCAGGAGGCATGAGGGTGCGTACAGATCATGCAGCACGCGCGCTGCACGTGTGCACGTGTGATTCTTAGACTATCGTTCACATGAACTGCAGCCGACACTTGCAGCTGAAATTTCAACTGTATGCCGTCGAAGCACAGACCACATAAATACTTTCTTCCGTGGGCCGAAGTCACGACTTCCTGTAATTAATCACTACTGCACGCATTAACTGCAGACATGCAGTCTATCTGTTAGCAGTCTAAGATGATTTAGAAACAGCTACTGAAAATTACATTTGAGCAGATATTAAACGGCGATGATAATTTAGTTCATTTTTAAATTTAAATTAATTATCTGGTAATCATCCATTTCTAATTAAGGTACAGGTGTTTTAAAAAAACCAGGTTGATAATAAAAAAAAACCACATATTTGGAAAGAAATTGCATATAGATTATTCTTTTTCACATTAGTGAAAAGGCATAATCTATTTCACGTTAGCAATGTCCCAATATTACAATTTTAAATAAAATGTCACGGAATAAAATAAAATCTATTTTTCTACTACGAGTATATACGGGATATGGTATATTTTAAATTACCTTAATTTTAATTAATCCTAGCAACCTGTTCTTTCTAAAACCACCTGTTATTAGTTCTTACTGTAGACAATAAAAAATGTTAGGCGTGTTTATAATCTTCCTTGCCCAGGCTGAGGTAAAATACGCCTGTATAGATGCTTTCTATTTGCACTAATGGTCGGATTCATGTTTCTCAATAAAAGCAATCTCGTTGAAAGAAGGGGCACGTCCATGGATATAAAATCTACCTACCACTGCTGTTCCTGAGATGATCATCGTAGGAGACTTGTGTTATTAACTAAAGAAATATTTAGTTTTAGTTACTCAGAAATACCTTAGGTAGCCCTCGGGGAAGCTTTAGTTTAGTGAACATAATACAGGTGGTCTAGTTGGGTGAACGTATTTGACATAATTCAGAATTTAAAGCAGGTCTAGCGAAGTTGTGACTGCACAAGAGAGAGCCGTATATTAGATATAGTAAACTTTCATATATTTATACATTTTGAGAAAAAAAAACCGTGGTAGCCTAATGGCTTGATCTTCAAGCAGAACGCCGCGCGCCGTGACGTCGAATCCGATCTCGCACCTCTGATTTTTCGGAACTTATATACGAAATTTAATTTGAATTTACCACGAGCTAGCTTCACGATGAAGGAAAACGTCGTGATGAAACCTGTGCGTCGAGGAAGGCTCACAACACTCGGAAAACGTGTGAAGTCCGAAACCCGCGTTGGGCGAGCGTGGTGGACTAGGGCCTAACTAAACCTTCGCCCGAGATGAGACCCGTACCCAGCAGTGAAACGTATAAATGGGTTGATGATTGAGAAGGAAGGAATATAAGTACAATCATTTAAAACTTTTATGGTTTTCTCCATTATGTTTAAATGAGCTTAGATGAGTAAATTGATTTAAAATGAGTTATTTGATTTGAACTTTCTGTAAATAATCAAAGCGCAGCGAGTGAAGCGAGTAAAGCTTTCTTGGCATCTACTCAATTTGCACAATCTACAAAGGATACGCGTTAAATTTGAAACTAGCATAAGGAATACAATTCTATAGGCCGTGATGCGACCAAATTTTGAATTTTGATCAGTGACCTGAAATAATTGAGGTCAAAGGTCATGTTTTATTAATGGAGAATATGGAATTCATATTCAATTAAAATTTTGCTCGTGCAAATAAATGTACAATACTGTGAAAAACAATAAGAAAGGCTACTGTGTTGCGTTATGGAAACAACATTAGAAGTCAGCGCGCGACCACGACCATGCAACTTGGCTTAAACCTATTAAATTTTTTCATAGTGTTTATTCCCGTTTTCGAATATTAAAAATATAATTGAACGTATAACTGAAGTTCTCAAAGTTCAAATAAAATTATAAAGAGGACTTCGCCGTGATAAAATGACGAAATGTTACTTTTTTAATCTATAATTTATAAAATTTTCGCCCTTGAAGTCTATTAAAGTTGACCTTTACAAATATTTTGAGTAAAAAAAGGCGCTCAAAATTTAAATACCTAAACATTTTGTACTTGATGGTCTTGATAAAAATCATGGAAAACTTTGGTAGTCAATAGAAACGTCATCATGTTGATACGTATTACTTTGTTTATGTATATATTTAAAGGACACAGAAAATCCAATATAGTAGCGAAAATAATATGATATTGGTATATTGCGCAAGTATATAACAATAAGGCGCTGTCTCTACATTTTTATGCAATGAAGCGACAGATACGAAGTCCCCTCACGAATGACGATATGTGCCACATCTTGGCTTTTTCAAACGAAACGTGTCACGTCGAAAGAATAGAATATTATGTGCGTAAAGCGGTGACATGAGCTTTATACGGGATCTAGCTGTAGACACATGCCATTTAATATTGAGTTGTTTCATAAAAAACAACGATCGTACAAACCTTTGACTGGAATAAAATGTCTCATTCACAATGTCTTCATGTTAGAAATAAAAATATGCAAGTGAGTATTAAACGATGATACAAGGAAAACTCCATTACCCTATGGTTAATAAAATAAAGTACAGGAGGAATTTCTCACCCTCTACTCAGTCACGTGTGATAAAAATAAATCTTAAGAACATAATACTTACTCGATAGTACTGTCTACGTCATATGAAAACAGAATTCTGAATATAATATTTAAGATGAATAAATTGGCCCAACGTCTGTTTCAAGCCTGATTTATGTTAGTTAAGCAAGGTTTCGTGACAAAATATACCGATAACACGGAAATCCAATATGAATAGAATTCAGCAACGGCTCTGAATACTGTAAACTACGATATGGTAAACAGGATTCTGTGTTGTGGAACCGTAAAAATGGTTTTCACAATAAGGTTTATTCGAGTGAAATGCAGTGCTTAAAAATAGTGATTTTATACTTATCGCAGAAAAATTTTAAATATTACAGTTTCAGTGACATATTGTTTTTACCGAACATATTCGTGTTTTCCCTCTGAGGATAGATATACCAGTCAAAGATACAATAAAAGATAATCCATTTTCTTCTTTTTTACAAAAAATACTTATTTTCAAAGTTTACGTACATATAATAAATTCCTTAGTGTAGCATGTCTACGGTAAATCAATCAAAGCCGTACCGCAATATGGACTGTAGTGTATGCAGTGTTGGATTAAGTGCCTTGGTTGCCCTTCTAAATTCGTGGTGCCCCTTTCCCTTCTCCAGTTGCCAAAAAAAGTCAACGTATGATTAATTGGGCGCTAGTAGCAAGAGCCGAAAACTTCAGGTATTTTCAACAAAACTAAGAAGGCCGTTGCCTATTATAGACCGACAATGTAATAAGAAACCGTCCCTTGTAATGAACGAGTGCAGCAGGTCACTAGTCTCATTAAAAATAAAAAATAATAGAATCTTCTCCTGTTATACAGAAAAAACACAAAGATATTCTGGTATAATCGATCTAAACGAGCTCCTTTTTGTAAACTTATTTTTAGGTGTATATGTGATCATTGTCCTTGTAAGTGTTACAAACCCTTTGCGAATGACACTTGTGTTTTATTTCTGCTTAATCAATATTTAGCTAAGGAGTACCTAGAGAAGACCCAACAAATTGTAAAGCCTGCAATGCATATTGGCCGACACTAGGCCAAAGTGAGCCTAGGCAAATTGATACACGTCTAGTGTTACCGTCTATCTAACGTTCGACAAGTTGAAGAAGAGCAATACAAACGGTCAATGTAGACGAGTTTTTATATATATAAGCTGTCACTTTTTGTTGGGCATTGAAGCGACATGGACTATGTAGAAGTGAGCACATATAATTATTATGTCAGTGTATGCCGCAGGAATGTTGTAAATAAAGACAAAACAGGGGGTGGTGGATGCTGAGTGTTCGCAGAAATATATCATGGTAAGATGACATATTGTTAATAATATGAGTGCTTATTTTATTTTGTACTAATTGTTGCAATTTTGATGAATTGCAACATTTAATATGGACAAATATGTGAAGTGAACAACTATTGACCGAGCGCAGGCGAGCGCCTTTGATTTGTGCAGAAAACCGACACCGCTCCGAAGTGATACGAGTGGTCACGAGCGACTACGAGGCATGGCAATGGCAAGACTTGTTGGTGCTCACCAAGGCGTGGTGGCCAAATCAGTTACTTATTCCGCTTATACGTTGATCCGGCACTGCTATGCACGCGTAGTATGACTTTAGAAGTGCATCTATAGTAGGTAACTGAGCTAGTCAATGTAATAACTTATTCGTAATATAATTGTTTAATATGTGTTATTGGAATACAAATGTAATGAAACGAACAATTTATATAAATTTTGTGTTCAATACATGTCTTTCTTATGACGACCACACACAAAAAAAACGAAAAATATTTCAATATACATATTTTCGAAGTAGGTAAATTTCTGTACTTGTTGAAGACAACTATTCCGCGTGTAAAATTGAAAAAGATATCACCTGAAATCTTCAGAAGTCATTCCGGAGATCGTAGTTTGGTTGGAGTTCTGATTCCACATAAGTGCTTCTGTGGTGAGATGCCCTTCTGCTGCTTCCCGCATTTGTTCCACCGTGCAGTCGATTCCTTCACGTTCTAGATTTGTTTCGAACCAGTTGTCTTCGTACCACCCTAAACCAATAAAAATGTTAAATTAATGAATGATACATTTTAATGACAGGTTAATTCGCGATTTCCTCAAGGGTGTCTGAATTTTTGTAATTTTTGAAAAATTTACGATTTGTCCCAAAGCGAAATTCAAATTTCACCTGCAATAAAAGAGGTACTTATAGTTATTTTGCTTTGACACACATCAAACGAACAAAAATGTAGTATTAGGGGTTAAAGTATGAAATTGCCGTTTTATTGCAATAGGTTCTTTGAATTTTCATAGAATCTTCATGGTTTGAGGTTTTCGAATGAAACTTTTTTCAAATGGTTTCTGTGATTTTTTTTTTTAAATTTGAAACATTTGAATATCGACTTTCAATTGTTTTTGTTATTCAATTTAGACAAGAAAGATGGATACTGCGAAAATTCGAGTGATTTTTGAATACGAGTTCCGACGCGGAACTAACGCAGCAGAAACAGCCCGCAATATCAATGCTGCGTTTGGAGAGGGGTCTACTAATGAACGCACCGTGCGATTTTGGTTTAAACGCTTTCGTGATGGAAATTTCGACTTAAAGAACGAGCTACGAGGAAGACCGCCCACACAGGTGAATAACGATGAATTAAGAGAGATAGTGGAAGCCGATCCTAGTCAAACTACCCAGGAATTAGCGGCATGGTTTAATATACCCTTACCCACATATAACCTTATATATAACCTTATATATAACCTATATATAACCTTACCCACAATATTGACTCACTTGCGTCAAATCAATAAAATAAAAAAATACGAAAAATGGGTGCCTCATGATTTGACTGATCTGCAGAAAGAAACGCGTGTTGAAACTTGTGTTGCCTTGTTGAACCGGTACAGAAATGAAGGAATATTGGATCGAATTGTAACATGTGATGAAAAGTGGATTCTTTATGATAACCGGAAAAGAAAAATGCAATGGCTGACCCCAGGTCAAATGCCACAACAGTGTCCTAAAGCAAAACTTACCAATAAAAAGGTAATGGTAACTGTTTGGTGGTCTCAGCATGGTGTTATTCACTGTAGTTTTCTCCGATCTGGTCAATCAATAACGGCAGATGTCTATTGTGCCGAACTCCGAACCATGTTGACAAAACTAGCAGTAAAACAGCCCCGACTCATGAATCGATCTTCACCATTATTGCTCCACGACAACGCGAGACCTCACACAGCACGAGAAACCATTTTGACCCTTCAGGAACTGCAGTTAGAAACCATTCGTCATCCTCCGTATTCACCAGACCTTGCTTCAACGGACTACCATTTTTTTCGTGATTTGGACAATTATCTACGTGACAAGAAGTTTTCTTCCCAGGAGGCAGTACAAAATGCTTTCACACAGTTTGTGCAGTCTAGATCGTCGGAGTTCTATCGCAAAGGCATTAATAACCTTCCCATTAGATGGCAGCAATGTATAGATAATAATGGCAACTATTTTGATTAAATAAATTTGTTAAAAATTTAAAAAATAAACAATTTAGATTTTCAGTACAAATCGGCAATTTCATACTTTAACCCCTATTATTATACATTTGCTTTATATTTTTTTAATTTCCACGTTACGATGTAATTCGAATGAAGGAAATGGATTTTTTTATTACTCAATCATCCACACTCGTATACGACAGGAAGATAAATTTGGCTTTGATTGATTTTCCACAAGGCTCCAATTCCATTAATATGTACAGTCTAATCTGTAAATTTTACGTTTCTTAGTTTAATAACAATTTGTGTATTTTGTGGCCTTGCATGTAAAGTTGTTCTCTGTTCGTAAAAGGTATGGAGAATAGGCCAATATATCAGACGAAACCGTTATGATCTAGCCATTTGGTTATAATGACATGATTCTACTTGGGATAGCTGATACGCGTATTGCCTATAGAATAAGCTTATCGATAAATTGTTGGACTTATGTTATGACGACTATACTTTGCTTTCCGCTCTTGGATATACGTCTGCCTTCTTTTCATTGGCTTCAATGTCGCTGTTACATAAATCATGAAAGCCATTCAATCGTCCAAGGGCTTTTGATCGACAAGATAGTAATAAAGTTTATTACATTATGTATCATGTGAGCGAATAAATTCAGGAGTGGCTTTCCTCTTTTAGTTATCTAAAATAGAAAAACCACTCCTGAATGAAGTAAGAATATTAAGTATTGGATTAATCATTTCAAGATTGCGTAGATTTAAAAAATTTCAAACGTTCATGTTAGTAATTAAATTTAAATGTAGTTGCGTAAACTTTTAGTTTCAAATTGTTGTTATGTTATGTTATGAGATTACTTTTGGTCATAATTCAATAACTTTGCCGCGCTGTATCAATTATTTCCCCTCACAAGTTGGTGTCTGTATTTTGTATAATTTTTATTCACGGCTATAAAAGACGAGAAGTAATTTTTACTTATTTCAATGTGAGTTGAGCCTTCCATGATCATTATTTATCCAGTTTCTCTATCCATTTCCTTTGTCCTGTTTGTTGTTAACAAAGCCTGCGGCGAATAAATGTGTGTTTGTTGTGTCGCAGCTCCCGTCTGACGATTTCACGGGCTGAGACTCGTTTGTGTAAATGGCAATATAACTTGTTCACTTTTTTACAACGAATATAATTTTGAAATACATACTTTTTTCATTTGCACATAAATTGGAATGCTGATAAAACAAACTTTTACTTATTCTACGACTTGCCAAAGGCAAATCGGGTACTGGGTTATTTTTTATTTATACTAGAACCCTAACCTTCTAGAAATGAAAACAAATTTTTAAAAGTTTGTATATGGAAACGGTCTGCTAAAGCTCTTTTAAAACAACTAAGTCACGTATAATTTTAAAATAATTTCATCGGAAAGTTCCTCATTTACCCGCAAACGTTTTGAATCGGTGTACAATTTATTCCGTGTGACCTTTCCTACTTTGTAGAGTTAGTAAAAAGCAAAGTTCACGGGAGCACCGACAGAAATGTCGTCAATTTTAGAGCTGCCTTAAGCCGGCCATCACATGCCCGCTTTCAAGTTGTCGCAGTGGTAGGTAGGAGTTACGATCAATATTTTATGCAGTGGATAATTTATTTTTCAGAGCAATTTCCACGCATGAGTTACCCAATTCTAGCTATATGTTGGTGCTTTTAAATTTTGTATCAGAGAACACGCATAATTTATGTTGTGCTAATGAGTTTACTTTTCATCGTCAATAATAATTTTAAAGCCATTTAATCTCCTTTATTAAACTGGCAAACAGTCGCGGATTACCAAATTAAATATTACTTCCCTGTTTATGAAGGAACACATATTATTATTAAGACCAGATCGGTAGAAAGCTTGTTAACGTTCCCATGGAATCGTAATATTTATCATCTTTTATTACCTTGACTTTTATTGCGGGGCTGTGTATAATAAAAATATCCGGGACTTCGCAAACGTACCTACGTGTCGATTATTTTTATGAAGTGATCTCTACTAGGCGATTTTATAGGTCGTAATAAAATTTTATGACGTAACAGAAAAGATTTTTGGGGCCATATTAGGGTCAACCGGACGTTGATAACCTGGAGCTGCGGTGACGGTTGGCAAGGCGCCAGACGTATCGCTCACCGATCTGCAGGTACTCAAGAGCTTTCTGTTAATTCCGACCCTCTGTGGTTCTGTTTGCGGAATGTACAGAAACATGTTAACTAGATATTAAATTAATTATTGAGCACAGAGTTACCGGTGCCAGCTAGGCACGCCTATTAGAGGATGTACGTAATTCATTGACTAATAAAATGTACTATACAGAGTCCGAACTTTTAAAACCCTAACTTCATTGTCTAAATATCGAGTCCTTAGGTATTCGCCATTGTTACATATAGGAAATGAAACTATTTTTTCGGATCTAAATCACGTAGGTATATTTCTTTTTTCAAACAAACCAACGTTTTGGGCTCTTTACAGCTCGCGAGGTTCCGTTTTGTGTGAGTGTTTATGTGTGTGTGTTGAGTGTGTGCATGGTCAGGTCATGGTCACTTAATCGTGAAAAAAAGAAAAAACAAATATACGCGACCACTCCGTCCCATAGTTAGCCAGATTGACACACCAACCTACAAACTGGCTCAACACATGGCAAAGGTACTGTCACCGGGAACACTTCTACACATGTGAAGGATTCATACCATTTCATCAGTGGAATCAAAGATCTACGGTTAATTGATGATGAGACCATGGTCAGTTTTGATGTTCAGTCGCTGTTTACCAACCTACCAGTGAAAGTTGTTGCCGATATTTTCATGGAAGACTTCGAGGAGCGAGTTTTACCCATGGCCCCAGCTAGGCCGAAGATCTTCAAACAATACGTTGGTGATACTTTCACAATATTACCTAAAGATAGCATACCTTCTTTCTTGGACCATCTTAATTCTTTTAGTACTAAGATCCAATTTACTATGGAACAAGAGACTTTAGTTTTCTTAGATGTTTTAATTAAAAGAAATCCTAATAACATCTTAGGCCACACTGTATTTCGAAAGAAAATACAGATAGGTATCTCAATGGTAATTCCCATCACCATCCTAGCCAGTTTGTGATGTAGTGATACCTACCTCTCAATTAATTGGACTAAGCACTTCTTAATATGGTGCTCTATTATTCATCCAATCATGTAACCTTTGTTTTTGTTTTAATATACATCTAAACGTGAACGAGTAAACTTGTCTTTCATTTAAGTGCTCACCTGAAACATCTACCTAATTAATCACCATGAAATAATCATCCATCTACTTAATTACTACATGGCGACCCTGCCAGCTGATTGCGGAACAGAAGATGCAAAAATAATAGTTAACAGAAATAATTGAAAACAGGCCAAGCAGACAGTCAAATATTGGTACAATTTGAGAATATTTACTTTCCCATCGCAGATAAAAAACCGATTATGATATAAACTACAAAAACCATTTGGCAAAATGGGCAAGACCGTTTCGAAGGTGGAAAAAGAGGAGGTTATAATTGCCC